ACTGGCATTCTTTCCAACTCCTTCAAATCTGATAGGGAGGTCTCTGCATATGCTGGATGTTCGTCGTTGCCTAGCTTTTTATAGGTCCAGGACTGAGTCTGTTCGACACTCTAATAGACTTTGTTAAATACTCAGAGCACATCCGGGGCTATCGGGTCACTTCCCAACGACTTTCCAAATGGATAGTAAATGCAATTGCTCTGTCTTACCAGTTGGCTAAATTGGACTTACCATCTACTCCAAGAGGTCATTCTACAAGGGCTGTTGCTGCTTCCTCAGCCTTTGCATCGGGAGTCCCGATGGAAGACGTCTGCAGAGCTGCCACTTGGGCTACCCCGTGTACCTTTGCCAGACACTATAGACTTGATGTTTGTGCCAGATGAGATTGCTCTTTTGGCAGGGCTGTTCTTTCTTCTATTCTTCGTTGATGACACCTCCCTCCTCCAGTTGGGTAAGTTTGTTATTCTACCCATATGTGTGATGCGCAGAGGCCACGACGAAGAAGAGCAGGTTGCTTACCTGTAACTGATGTTCTTCGAGTGGCCATCTGTGCAGTCACACAACCCACCCACCAACCCTGCTTGGTGTCATGGGTGGTCCGACTTTCTTCTCTCCGATGCTAGGATCTCTTTAGCTATTTGTCGTACCACTGAAGTTTTAGTTTTTTTCCATATTGACAATAACTTTATTAAGGGAGCGAACATCGGGTCTTTCAAAGACTAGAAAATGGTGGATACTCCACTCCTTATATAATACTAGGGGGGAGGGGGAGCGGAGTTTCCCGCCAAAAACCGTTAGCTGTTAATCTTCCGGCCAAAGGCACTGCGCAGGCACAGAACCCATATGTGTGACTGCACAGATGGCCACTCGAAGAACATCAGTTACAGGTAAGCAACCTGCTCTTTTCAGACCCTAGTGCAGGCACCAAAGGAATCTGGGCTTCTCACCTCCTTCTGGCATCAACCAGCAATAAGGGCCTCCTAGCTTGGCTGGGGCAGTGTAGGCATTTGCCCGCAAGGGGCTGACAGACGGGCCTCCTTTGCTCTTCCACTCTCTGCACACCAGAGAACAATACAGCCACAGTTAAATGAAATAATACACAGAGAGTAATTACTATTTCTTACAAATAAAACTGCAAGCAACTTTTTTGTCCTATCCTGCCAAAAATCTGGAAGGTTGCTGTGGAACCCAGATATGAACTCCCTGATAAAAATGGCAGGAGCAAGTCTTCATAATGAAGAAGCAAGTGTGAGATCTTTTCGCCAGGAATAACGTCTTGTCCCTGTTGTATAAGCAGAACGTTAACTTCCACAGGGCCCTACTCGTCAGCAGAGTTGTACTGCTTCTCAGCAAGGTGCCTGCCCTGTGCGTTAGACCAAAAGTCATCAGAGAGCTCAGACCAGAGGTGACACCCCCAAAGAGCGGTTACTAGAGACATTTTCATAGCAACCATCTGCCCTGGCTTCCAGCTCCCAGCATTCTCTTTCATTAGTATTACAAATCAGCAAGGCCTTAAAAGCAGAAATCAATAACAAGGCACGTGCTGCATGGTTAGAAAGTATAATCTTAATGAGCTGGATGTAGGATGAGTTGCTGTTTCTTGCTGTTCCTGGTTAACTGCTGCCTGGCATCTGTTGAATACACATCCCTAGCCCACTCTAAAAGCACTGCCTATGTGTTCACAGCTCTCAGGAACTTCTTTTATTATTTGTAATGGGATTAATAAATAGCAGCTGTTCCCTTTGTTTGTTTTCATTCATTAAACACAATTACATGCAGCCCGATTGCACCCTCTTTGATGCAAAATGGGAGAGAATAATTTTTCCTGTTGTTCAGTGCTATAATATGCTGTCATTGGCGCTGAATGAAAATCATAATTAATTTTCATTTGGGTTTTTGCATTTTCCTAATCACGGCAGTCCCAGCTCCTTAAAGCAGGTGACAGACGTGCCTCTCTCGCTCTCGGTGTCTCTGCTCCCTTAGTTTCCCTCTTGCTGTGTTGCACCCAGAGGGGCAACATGGAAACAGAAGTTCACACAAAAGCAAAGCAGGTTGTGAATCTGACAGCACTCGCAAACTTTCCCGATAACTTCCTTCTTGAATCAGGAGGGGGAGGCATTGGAAAGTATGGATAGAATTCTTGTTTCCTTTGTTTTCTGGCTCCACTCCCTTTAAGACTGTAACTTTTGTTACTGCCAACCTAATTTGTTGCTTATGTTTACATTCAAAACTTTGGCGCCACCTAGTGGTCTCTGTAGTTGGTGACAAGAAGCAGTGCTCTGGAAAAACTCTTGGGACATATGTGCACAACTGACCTCCACTCGGCCTGGGCTGTCCCCGTACAGAATTTCAGCAGGCCCAGTGCCTGTACCAGGGAGGCCATGGAATCACCATTCCTGTGTGTACAGTTGTTGGGAAAACAGGATATCTTTCATCCGGGCACGGGATTGGGCTGCTGAGCCCTGGTTCGTTGGGCATTCAGTGACTCTCTGGCAATTCGCCTCTGCATAATCTGCGTGGAGCTTTTCCGTGTTTCGGCACCCGTGGGGCCCTGAGCTGCAGCTCTGTGTACCTTGCACTGCTGCACTTGCAGCACGTTCAGCGCAGGAGACCCGTAGGGTGCCACAGCTGCTTTTAATCAAAGGAAGCTGATTTCCATATTAAGGAATTACCTGTAGGGCTAGTGATGGACCTTTCCTACCTCCTAATAGTCAGTCTATTAATTACATAAGAGTTTGTTTCCAATTACACAAACAGTGAAATGGTTAATCAAGTCCCCTTTGATGGATGCCTTGACATTTAATTGGAAAGGGAAATCCACCTTGCACTCACAACAAACTTAGCTGCTTTAATGGGATTTCTGATGGGTTTGCATTTTAATCATCTGCTCTTCATTTGGCAGAGCACGTGAAAGGAGGCAGGGCCTTGCTCAACAAACCCCAGTGATGGGAGCATCTTGTTTTACGGTCCACGTTCTCAGCCCCTTTCACTAGAATCCTAATGCCATATCCTACACCTAGTCTTCTTTGAGAGGCCTGCTCACATCCCTATGTTCATATAATCTGAGTAGTTAACAAATGTCAAAGAATGAGTTTTTTCTAGATGTTTTCTCCCAAAATTGCACCCAAATGGTGACATGGGGTGATTCTGTGAAAAGGACTAGAATGCAGAATGTGTTTTGGATCTTCAGGGGCTTTATTCTTGAAAGAAATGAAAGGTGCTGATTTTATGAATGCCCCCAGCATTCTTTGATTCTCTTTTATCTGACACCCTCAGTAAAGACACAGCCCTGTTAAATACTAGAAGAGTTTTCTCCTCCTGTCACTGAAACATCAGTAAGTTTTGGTCAGGGTTGAGAAATGGGTGGCCTTCCAGATGTTGGACTACAAAACCCATCAGATCTAGCCAGCATAGCTAAAGGTGAAGAATCATTGGAGCTGCAGTCCAAGAACTGGAAGACCTCATGTTCCCCATCCTCCAGTGTTGTGCAACTTCCAATATTGTGAAGGCAATGTGTGAATAACAATGCTGAGGCAGACCTTGCTAAGGCTGTGTGTTGCATCAGTTTGTACTGGCCCCATGGTTTTTGGTTCATCAGCATTTTCTATAGCTCTGCCCAGCAACCAGTGGCAAAGACTGGTGAAGAATGAAACTGTGTCGGTAATGAGGCACAGAGATGGATAGGATCCAATTCTGTTCAGGATTAACTGGAAGCAGGATTTACCGTACAATGTTTTTTCAGTCAGGACTACATGTATGGAAGTAAACAACATGCACTGTTTTCGACACAGATTTAAAGATGGTGACTAACAATTTCTAGTTGTGAGAAATAATTAGATACTGTACTTTGATATCTCTGATTTAAAAGCAAAGTAGTTCCGCACACAGGCTGATTTCAGTTAGCTATTACTAAGGGTAAGACTTCTCTTTGACTTGCACTGTCGGAATATTTCTTCTTCATTTTGAGAAGAGATTCCACAGGTTTCCTAGGAAATTATCCCACAGAGTGATATATTTAATTCCCAGAGGTGATGCCAGTTAAGAAATATTCCCTCATGCTCCTTTACCCTGAGGGCAAAATTAGATGATGTTGAAGAAACATTTGAATCCCAGCACCCTTGTATATATTTTCTTTATAATGCTAATATAATTTGTGGCAAGCACTTGCAAAAGAAAAGCACTAGGCTCAGTGCTTTCCCAACCCATTGCTTACCTCATGTGCATCTCGCTCTGCCACCACAGTAGTCTAAACTTTTCACCGAACTCTGAAACCAGGAGTAAGCCAGATGGTGGGGCAAAGTAGGCCCGCAGTTGTAACAAGGACCTTCTGCTTTCCTGTTGCCCTGAGAAGTACCAGGATAGGACCACACATTTGTTCACATAAAATCTTGTTCCAGCCTGAATTCCTGCTGCTATTGCAGGACTCCCTTCCTCTGTTTCTGATGTTCAAGAGCATAGCTCATCTTGGGATTCTTCTCTGCTTGATATTTATTTATTTGATATACAACCCACCCCATTAGCCAGTAAGACTCTCTGGGTGGGTTACAGGATTATAAAATATACAATAAAAATCAGTAAAATTAGCATTAATAATGCAACAGTAAAATCCTACAGTCACCCCCCCCCAGCCCTTCTTTACAGAGGGGCTTCATTGTCTCTTTGGTGGGATTTTAATGCTGAGGTGGTTGACATGCAGCCTTCACATTGATGAGCCACACCTTCCTCTGGTGCGGCCCCCACCACTGAAATTTGGTGGCACACCAGTTGCCAAAAAAACAAAAAACCAGCAACAAACTGTTATGGAGGCTTAAAAGGGACAAATCAAGCTTGAAAACAAGTTAAATTGATCCCTTTTAAGCCTCTGTAGTAATTTAAAATTTAATGGTTCAGGGCAATCTCTTCCGGCTTTCTTTTCTAGAATGCCCTTTGCAGAAAGTGTTTCAAATTACAGCAAAATCTTCCTTTACTAACAATTTCCTCCATGTTCTTTTCCTTGCCAGATTTTAGCTGCTTTAGAGAAGGATGAACAGGCCCGACGGCAACGGCTGCGGAGTAAGTTGGAGCAGGCAATTGACACAATGGCCCTGAGCAGCTGAAAGGGCCGAGACCACACTGCAGACTTCCCTAGCAGTGGAGACTAGAGAGAGGGCAAGCAAATCGTGGCAGCAAAGGAAGCGAGCAGGAGTAGACGGGGGCCTAGCACAGAACCGTGCACAGAGTTTGCTGCGTCCTGGAACCCTTTACACCAATGAGCAAGAACAACAAAGCAACCCTTAAACCATCATCATGAAAAATAGAACGAACCTGTCTAAAGACCTTTTGGAAGGAGCAACGTGGCAAAGAACCTGAAGGTCCCCAGGAGATGCGCAAGGACGGCCAGGAAAAAGAGCTCCAGCTTGGCCGCACTGCCCCCTCTCCCCCACCAAGGCCTGTCCCAGATCTGGCAGTGGAAGGTTGGGGGATGCACTAACTTTAGGACAGCGTTTTTACATTATGGTTTTCCTGTAGCAGGCGGGTGGGCAGGCTTATGATTTTTCATTCTGTTCTTGCTTCCCTTCCCACCTTGCCTGGACACTTTGGCTCTTTATCTTCCTTTCCTTTCTCTCTCTGGCCTCCTGCCTCTAGTGTTAACTGCTATATTTGCACAATTTCCAAAAATTGGGTTTTTTTTAAAAAAAGTAAAAGCATAGGGATGAGGGAGGTTCTAAATTTTCAAACAAACACTGCAGGTTTTTGTTTTGCTTTGTTTACTTGGTTGGGATAGAAATGGGATTAATGGGACTATGAGGATGTCCCACTATCTTTGGTTCTTCCTACATTTTGCCCTGTGCCATGTTTTGTTTGAATGTTTTTAGCACAGGCCAAAAGAGAAGCCCATGTTTTGGATGCTGCTTAAGAGGGTGCTGGAGGTATAGACACAAGAAGGCAAAGAACTTCAAAAAGTAGGGATTGCCATGTGTAGCGATTCACAAAGGGAGATCTTTCCCATTTGATATGACAGGCCTAGTAAATTACTTTGTAGGAAGAGGTACACTTAAAAAGAACACTTCGAGCTTTGCCTTTTTATACATAAGTCTGGATGAGCTATTTATAAGTTGAATTTAGCAGCCCTTTTGAAGCTCTCCTTGCCCCATCCGCCTTGTATGCCCCTTGCTCATTTGTAAGTTTTCCACTTGACATAGCAGAACTTTCAAATCAGCATTTGATCCTAAGAGGCACTGTGTAGACGGTGGGGCTGCCCATTTGAACCGATTCCCAGTATTCTCTCTTCCATTGTCAAGAAAAGCTCTTTTGGACATAAGCCTATGCATGTTTCAACCTGCCGGCAGTCATGGGCCCTTTTTCTGCCTAGACCTGCATAGGATTGTGGCTTTACTAGCAAATGCAGTAGTAGGCGATTGGGTCTGGGCCATGCAAGAGCTCTGCATCTGCCTGTATTGGCTCTGTTGTCCCTCCGCATTCCCACGGCACTGGCACTCTGCAGCAGTGTCGGCCCTGGGCAAGAGAAATCACCAGGGCAGTCTTCATCCAAAGAGATGAGGAACAAAGGATGATCCGGCATGGAGTTGCAGGATAGCACTTACAGGAACAGCACGTACTGGGTTGCCCCCACCTTTTTCTTTTCCTACAGTTGGATGTGTGCATGAACACATGTCTCACTAGAATATTTAATTTATACATTATCCCATTTTCAGCAAAACGCCGTGCATCTGCACAAGCAAGCAGGGACGAAGGCAAGAGAAATGGTGTCTTGTAATGAAAGTCGTCTTCACCTTCAACAAAACCCGAGTTAGAAATAGTTGCAACGGATTTGGGGGCAGGGGGTTGGCTAATGAGAAAAGGGGAGCAGGTGCAAAGGGAGTGTGCATCCTCAGTTGCATGGCAAGGGGTCAGTATCTCTCTTGTGCTGGCGTGTGGCAGCAGCCGTGATCCTCAAGTGGAGAGATTAAATCCTTACATCCTGCCAAGAATCTGTGAGTTAGGGTGGACAACTTGTGGCCCTCCAGATGCTCTGACTTACAACTCCCATTATCTGTCATCACTGGCTATCCTGGCTAGGCTGATGGGAGTTGTAGGCCGCAAGTTGCCCATCCTCATTTTAACCAATCTTCAGTGAAACACAAAGTTGTTATCCATAGCATGTTTTGCTACCTTGGTTCCTGACCTCTCTAGGCAGTAGAGAAATTAAAATCTCAGTTGGAATGGGACAACATTGTCCACTTCCATCTGATGAAGGTACTACAGCTAGTAGAAGAGAATGTAGAGGCTGCTCCTGTAATTGGAGTCCTACATCGGTTCTCTGCTATTTGGTCCAACGCAAAGGCTTTCTCCTCTTTCCACAATTCTGCTGGTCGCTGGCTGACTATCTGGCTTTGGGCTTCCCTTTGTTAGCAACTGCCATCACTGCATTGCAGGCGGCCAGGGAAAGAGGTGCTCATACAGTGAAAGGGCAGTCTGATGATCTTGGGAACCCGCACATTATCCACGCTGCAGGTGGGTACTTCTGGTGCAGCTAAAGGCAAGTGTTCTCTTATTGCTGCCGTAGTGTCTTGTATTGTGCAGAGATGTTGTGTACACTTTAAGATAGGGTTGGCTCCCACTTGAGTTAGGAGGTGTTCTCACTCTAAAGCAACCCCCAACCCCTGGAAAAGGTCCCTAGAATTTTGTACAGCTGTCACTGCAGCTCTATCTTTGAAATGTGAATTTTGTACTGTAGGAAAGGAGCCTTTTATTTATTAGCAATCTTACAATTTTGAGTGGGAGATGGCATTCAGCATCACAGCACCCCTGCAAAAGAAGTCATCCCCACTCCTGCTCTCAATGTACAAACATATAATTGAAGCTAAGGGAACAAGTGACTTTCCCTAGTTAAACTAGGATTTGATTCGAGGTGTTCAGCCCACGATCGGTATGCTGGCCCTCCGCCATTCTGTTTTAAACTTTCCTGCGCCCATGGATGGTTTATAGATAAATGCATAAAATAAATGTCAAGCACACTAGCAGAGCATTTCTGAGGAACCTGATTTGGGTTTCTAACTCGCATCACTGCTAAAGAACCAGTAAATCTAGCTCCAGCCTGCTGCACAAGAAGTGAGATATGCCAGATCTTCCAAGGGCCTCATCAAGATTTGTCCTGGGGCATCTGTTTCCCTTTGCTTGCCCCTCTCTTTTTTTCATCATCTCTTCATTCCACTCAATCTTTATTCAGACTAACATTGCAATCCTATATATGACTACTCAGAAGTAAGTCCTGTTGCGCTCCATGGGAATTACTTCCAAGCAAGTGTGTTTAGAATTGCAGCATAACACCCTCAGTTGAGTTCTTGATGGATGTAATGCCTTTAATTACTATTTTAGGTGCATCAGTGTGATGAAGCCAGTGCCCTAATTCAACTCAGGTGACCAAATCCACCACGTTTTCAGCCTTCACCCACCCACAACCAATAGACTAAGTCGCTGTCACAGCCTCGGTAATAATGTTCCGAGAAAGGCTGTTGCAGGACAAACCAAGCCTGACACAGCCCATTCCCTTAGAGTGCAAATGAGGGGGGGAGAGAGATGTAATGAAGTTTTGAATTAAAATTTAAAATGTGTGTGCGTGTGCGTGTATATATATATATGTTGTTACAATCTAATTCTTGTGCCCCAGTGGGGCACTGTATAGTTAAACTGAAGGAGATCAAACCAATATAAAATACGGTTTTTACACAAGCAGTGCAAAAATCAAATGGGGAAAATATCGGACATTTCTCACCAAGCAGAACAATCTTTTGTGAAGCCTATATACATCTCAGATTGCTTTGTAATTTTGTTTTTAGCCTTTTTAATTATTTTTTTAATTAAAGAGGAGGAAGAGGAGAAGTCAAGAAGACAATAAAAATAAATCAAAACAAAAAAACCCCTATGGAATTCTGAGATATCTCTGGTTCCATAGGACTGTGGGCTGTTGCATGACTGTGCTAGAGTTTAGTCTGAGTTGATCTTTTTTAAAAAGAAAAATGCAAGTGTTCAATACTAGAGGTTTGTTTAGACCTTTTTATTTTTGAAATTTTGAATTAATTTGTCACTTCTTGTACAAGGGTGGGTGGGGGAAAGAATGTCAATGGTTTATTTCTGGAAAAGGGTACCTTAAAGGACAGCTAAGTGTTGCTGCATACAAAATAGACCACAACATTTCACTGATTCCCCTTCCTTGGGCTTGGTTCAAAGTGTACTTGGGAGCATAAAACTTTACATAATTGACACTATGGAAAGAGGCAGAGGTGGGATCTTTGGGCTTGGTGTAAGAGCAGCTCTAAACTTCCAGGAGCAGGTGACCAGATCTTCCCTCTGTTCTGATTTAATTTGAGCCCACATTCCTTAACGAAGAGCTGTCCACTTAGGCACCTCTTATTTAGGCATCTCAGCAATAACAGTGAGTAACAGTGGGAAAGTTCAATAGGAAAAATAAAACTTTTAAATGTCTTGCCTCAAATAAGCAACTTTCTCTTAGGTTCTCCTTTTACAGTAAAAACACCATAAGGTTGGATAAAATGCCATCAGAGATGGATTAATTTAAAGGACCTTCAGACGTGTCTTGGGATGTACATTCTTCTTGGAAGGCCTCAGTTCATCACACCTCCTCATCCTAAACTACTTACACACCTTGAATCAATGGAGTCATCTACACTGTTCTGCAGCACGGCCATGGGAAAGGAAGCTCTTGAGAAAAACATCCCAGTACAGGGGACTTAAGAAAGGCAACTTTTTCCCCCATGTCTAGGCTTTCTGCCAGGCAGAAAACTTTGGCTGAAATAATTGCAAGTTCACAATTCACATACCAGGATGTAGGATGGATCTGGTTTGAGCATCAGGTCGCTGAGATTGGGTGCCTCCAGGTGTAGGTCTGCCAGCACTATCCACTAAAAAGCAAATGGACAGCAATTCCATCTTCTCCTCCTCAGCAGTTTTTCTACAGTAAGAAAACAAGGCAAAAGAAGTAATGGGAAAACATGGGAGATTTGCAAATAAAAGCCATCTGAGCACACTATAAAATTCCATGAATGGGATGGGATGATGGTGCAATAAAAGTCTCAACTGGAAGCCCTTTCTGGACATGGACACTCAACTCCATGTTGGGTTCTTGCATAGAAACTTGGTTCCATCCCCGCCTCAAGGGCAGGAGCAAGCACGGCGGTGGCAGGGCCTGCGTTAGACACCCAGCAACTATGTTTGCACATGCATGCATGCATAGACGAATAGGATAAATTTGACCATGGAAAGATGGTGTTTTCCCTGGTTTTAGAGGGATGTAGCCCTCTTTTTGTGGAGTGGGGCACAGCTGCCAGTGCAGAAACACAAGTGTGTGTGTGTATGTTTGTGGGGATACCTTTTACGTCTCTTGTACTGCCTTCAGCAATCCTACTTCTGCCACAGAAACGGAGCCAGTGGCTTTGGAGACAATGCCTGAAGCAGGAGAGAAACGCAGTGGCTTTTCCACAGGCAGTGAGAAGTAAATGGTGAGCAGGCAGCAGAGCACAAATGGTCATGATTCTGCTGAAATCAGCAAATGGTTTCTGTGAGAAAATACCTTTCCAGTGTGCTTGCTGATGGGTTCATTTGGAATAGTCCCATGGAATAAGTAGAGAATCTCTTTGTATTCTTGACTATCCTTGGTAGAGCAGTTTTAAACCATTTTTTTCCTTCTACAGGCCCAAGTTTCTTCTACATTAGTTCTCTGGATTTGCTTTTTTTGCTCGCTCATTTCTCATGGAGCAGCCAAATGACATGTTAAATCATTACAAGCCTGTCTTTTCTGTGTGTCCCTTTATTTTGTTTTGCTGCAGACTTGCTTTGTGGCAAAGTTTCTTGGTAGAAAAACGCACCTTTATGACTGGCTTTTCTAGGTGAGCAGCTGGAGTGTTACTGAGGTTTTTAAGAGCTCCTGTGCTGATCATTTATTCTGTTTGTGGGTCTTCCCGTTTTATGGTGCTGTGTTAAACCTGGCTTAAGCATGAGTGGTCAGTTGTCTTTTAATTGTCTCAGTGTGCATTTCTACTGGGAGAAGGCTTCTATCAGTGCCTTCCTCAGACTTTTTTTTTCTTTTACACTGACAGGAGATCATCCATAAAAACTTCTTCCACCTCCCTAAGGGAACAGCAACTGAAACGGGGGCATTCAAGACAGGCTGTTTAAGGGACAATTAATATGCTATTCATCACTAATTGTCATACCTGAACTCATCTGGAAGCAATAAAACAGCCTGAAGGCTACAAAGAGATGAACACTGGAAACCTTTGCTGAATGAGATTTCGTTATAGAGGAGTTTAGTTCACGCTTCTGTGGAATCTCTTAGTTCTGCTTCCAGATCATGGCAGAAATCCAAGGTTTCAGTAGCACTAAAGGGTTCCAGTGTGGAAGCAACTCCGTTTGCTAAGGTTCCACTTTATTCTTCCCCTCCCAATCCATCCTTGGTACGTTGATACCAATATCGATCTATCCCTATTGGGGGAGAAATGTCAGTGGTTATCTTGGAGCATTCCCATGCCCTGTGTGAACAGAAAAAGAAGCATGATTCAAGCAAAACACATGGAAAACTTAATGTGTGAATGGGTGTTGTCAATACAGATAACCATAGTGTGTGTTTTAAGCACCCATGAAGAAGATACTCTTCAAAACCTGTTAGGCCAGTAAAATCTTTACTTCCAAGCACTTTTAAGTTTTTATGCCCCTCCTCCATTTTCTTGTTTTTGAGTCAGGCTTATCTTGGTAATGTATATATGACTAAATGTTCACTTCAGCAGTGGCTTTCTAAGGTGCCTCAGCAAACTGGACATCAATTTCAAAGCTGGAAATGCCTACTGTGGCCAGCCAGACAGCTTTTAGCCTCCGGGTGCTCACCCTACCTATGTTTTGCTAAAGTCTAACTTAATAGCCATCTTTGAGGTCCATATATTTACTGAGTTCCGGACTGGAACAGGTCGAGGGCTGTTTCCTTCTTGCTGTGTTTGTAAATGGCCCAGAAATACCTGCTTGGCTCCTGTTGGGCTAAATGCTGGCCTGGATGGGCATTTGGTCTTAACCCAGCAAAGCAGTTCTTATGCCTCTAACCAGTGCTTCCTTTAGCCTTTCCATGGCCTTTTGCTACGTGCGAAGCTACCCTGTCTTTCCACTTACTTACCTTTAAGGTTGTATCTACATTCTACATTCTGATACAACCTGTGACCGCATCTCTATTACAAGTGTGCTGAACAGTGTGAGAAGAGGTGGGATGTCACTGCTTTCCACAAGTTTAAATATTTTATTAGCACTCTCATCTGGTTTTACATACCTACAAACGCCATCTCAGGATAATAGTGCTGAATGACAGCAGTGCTGACTCCCCTGGTGTTTGTACAGCGTTGCTGGACTTTGAATTTGTGCATTCATATAATTAGCACTAGAGAAGGTCTTTTGATGTCATTTTGATGCTCACATGAGAAAGAAAACTTTTTAAAAGAGTCTGTTAACCCTTTGGGACCGGGTAGGAGTTTACTGAGGCCCCATGATGTCATGGCCTCTAACAACTGATGATTTGACAAAATTAAATAGCAATTAAACCTTAAACATCAAAGTGTAGGATTTAAAATGGCAGGAAGCCTACAGTGAGGAGAGATAGGTGTTTAGAAACAACCTGTAAAGTGGATGTTTTAAAAAAACAGTCTAAAGCAGGACTGAGGACAAACGACCACTTGCTCATTCCCCTTTGCCCAAGTGATGATAGGCATAGATAGCCAAGGCTTCCTAACAGCACCTAATTAGCAGCAGGTGCCTATGTTGGAAAAAGGATTTCTGTTGTCCATTATTGCTTATTTTCTACATTTACAGCCAAGCACCATGACAGACCATTCTCATCCATATTATCTGTAATCCCCTACCAGCAAACAGGATTGCAGTATTAACATCTACATAAAGGCTATTACTTGAGAGTTCCCTACCAAGAGAGACATGTGAATCTATCTTCTGTGCTTTAGGTGCTATTTCAGTTTTTCACATCCATTATTAAAAGCGCTTAATCATACTTCACCACCTCCCTTCTATCCTCAATTCCACATTGCTCATAACCTCAACTAGCGGTGCTGTCTAAAAACATCTCAGGAATAGGATTGAAGGAACACCTGTGTAGAGATGTTGAATGTTTCAGCTTCTGAACAGAGCTAGGCTCAGTGCCATGTACAAGAACCTTGGGTATCCATGGAGTACTCCTTTCCCCATGCCAACTTCATACCTTGGATGGTTTGTGCAAGGCAGCCAGTGTTGGGCCTTCGTTCATCTTCAGACAGGTCAGAGAGGTCAGCGCAAAGCATGTTATGGGTGGACGTGGTACGCTTCTGTTGGACATCCAATTCCAGGAAAGAGTGTGTTCGGGGAGCATCCACAATGTCGTGGAATATGAAGGTTTAGGATGAAAAGCAGACTGGAGAGTGAAGCTAGCAGGTGGTACTCTAAAAAGGATGTTGAACAAGACCTTTCCCCACTGCAGTTTTCCTCTGCTCTGGGCACTTCCATTTCTTAGGTTTAAAATGCATACAGCCTTGCAGGATCCTACCTCTCTCTCTTCCGAAGAATGTCAAGGCCACCATTAGCTGTCCTTTAAGAAAGGGAAAGGGGGCATGGGAGGGGAGGAGGAGAGAAAATAAGAAACAAAGAATTTTAATAGTAAAATTTTAAAAAAGAAAAAATCATGATAACTTTATGTGATTGTTTCAAACTTGAAGCAACTGTGCCAGTGTGGCAGGTCGGCACCCTTTGATTGTGTAAATATCCTGCTATTTCCTATTTTAATGTTCTTCAGATTTAGTACTTGTAAATAAACACACGCATCAAGGAGAGATTAAACATTTTTGCTAAATAGTGTGCCTTGCCTGGCTTTGTGACTATCAACTTTGGTGTGGAGGGAGGGCAAAAAGGGCTTGGCAAGGACATGTACTTCTCACATTTGCTCAGGCTTGGCTGCAGCTCTGCTTGACCCTCACCAAGCACCCTTCCCTTTATCTGAGCCCAAGTGCTCCATTCCCCCACCTCTCACATACAGCATCATGGGCCACATTCCAAGCAGCACTTCCCTCTCAGGAAAACGAAACACTGCTCTCGTCTGAAAATCCAGCCATTGAAGGGCCAGCAGACGAAGATCTGGGTCCTGCTTGACTATTTTACCTGGAACAGTAACTACGTGCATCAACATCCTACTGCTGCACAACACTGGCCTCTATGGAAGCAGCAGTCTTCTCGTATGGAGAGACCCGCAGGTATAGAAAGCGTAATGAAAAGTGTTCCAGCAAAGCTGTGATCAAAACTGTGCTCTGGTGTTGCACTCAATGTTGAGTCTTCAGCCCTGCCATGATCTGCATGACTGAATGAGTGGATAGAGAGACTGCAGCCGAACTTTACCTGAAGCTCTTTATGGTGCAGTGAGCAAAGGACCCTTGACTCAGGGACATCAGAATGCACCGCTCATGGCACAACCCCTTCCCTAGCTCAGAGTTAGGTAGATTTGTTTACTGGCAAAGTGCTGAGGTAAAAGATTCTTAAGCAGGCTTCCTCAACCTGGTACGCTCCAGCTGATACTGGCTTCACAGCCCATCAGCTCCAGCTACTTTGGCCAAAGATCAAGAATGTCAGCATTGCAGCCAAAATGTCTGGACAACACTAGGTTGGGAAAGGCTATTCTAACAAGGGATGAAGGCAAGTGAAGAATGGCAGAGTCAGCTACAGGGGGACAACCATAGAAAACCAGCAACATGGGACTGGCTAGCTGCTGCTATTCCTTCTGTCTTCCAAGAATCAGCCAGACTGATTCTTTCCTATTAGACTTAGCCATATTTCTTGCTCCTCATTCTAAGGGGGCTCCTCAGGACAAATGAGTATCTGCAAAAATGCCTGATGAGCATGGAGTGGGAGGGTGTTGCTGGCTGTGAAGAGGCGCTTCTAACCCTGACTTGGCACTAAAGCACATTGCGCAAGCCTTTTGTGTGCTTCCCTGCGGATGAGACAACAGCTGTCAACAAGTGGCAAATGATAATGCAGGTGAGAGACCTGCCCTGTGTAAACGCATCATCAACAAACATTCTGGGATGGAAACAGTTCTGCCTTCTGTTCATACTGCACTCATTACTTCCAATATCCAATTCAAAACTTTGCAATGATCTTTACTAATAGGCTAATTTATCATCCAAATGGATTCTTTCATTGGAAGCTATGTGGAAATTGCTGCCTACATTTTGTTTGCTATCGCACACAACACCCATTTCCTTTTGGCTGGCCTTGAACGAAGTTCGATTTCCAAAAATGGTGACCAGTCTTCCATTCTATTTTAGTTCAGCTCAGAGTAGCCCTTATCCCATGGCTTTGTTTGCTGACTCCCTACAACGTAGGCCCTTGCGAGAGGCTCCCGTTGCAATAGAGTAACCTTTTCTCAAATCTGACTCATTTATTTCATAGACACTTACAAGGAGAGGATGTGTTGCTCAATGCAACCAGTCCAGCAAAGGGACACCGGGGAGCTGAGAAGATCAGGACTGAGGTGTCCCCATGGGGAAGGGAGAGCTCATTCTGCCATGTTACAGTTATCCAAACTGGATTTAAGAAATGGCCCAAAAGAGTGGGATGAATGTTGTGCCTTTGATACTGACAGGATCACATAAACACCACCAGGACTCAGTTCATACATGCTCAAATGGTGAACTCATGTTTCCAACTTAAGCCATCATTTCTTGCCACTGCCTCAAAAATATAGTTCCCATATAGCCCGAAGTGCCTGATCCTGCCTAATCTCGGAAGCTAAGCAGTGTCAGGCCTGCCTGAAATCTGGATGGGTGACTTAAATGTTGTGAACTGCCCTGAGAGCTTCAGCTATGAGTAGTGTATAGAGGTATAGAGATGATGATGATGATGATGATGATGATGATGATGATGATGATGATAGCAGCTACCTTCCTTGTATCAGTGGGCAAAGTCCTACATGAAAATGATGGTTTGGTCTCCTCCGTGGTCCCAGGCTTCTCTTACCATCCTGGCAATAGGGGAAGAAGTAGTGCCGCTGAGGTATTATATAAAGTAAATAACCACACAGGTTCCTATACGCTTGTGTAAGGAAGAGAAGATTTCAAAGCCCTAGGAAGAGTCCTGCCTAGAAGGAAGCTGTAAAGAATTCAACTAGCTGTTTAATGGAAGGAGGGAGGGAGGGAAAAACGAAATTTGTTCAAAGCCATGCAGCAGACAGCCATAGCTGAGGTCCTCTTTTGCAGAAAGCAGATGGATTTCTAATGGTATAATAACAAAAAAGAAGGGACTCCAGAGCATAAAAGTGGTTAGGACATATAGATGCTTTCTTTTGCTATCCTCAGGAATGTGTAACTAAGTGACATCGTGTCATTGTAAATGTTTAAAATTAACTTTTGCCATGCTGAGCAAAGATAAACAGATAAGAGCCGGACATTATATAGTTGCCAGTGATATCTCAAATGTGCTACTTCAGTTTGTACCCAACAAAGGATACTCTTGACGAACAGAATTAAAAGCACACAGCACAAAGGCAGGAAGGCCAAGAAAACTTCTCTAAAATGGGAGACCTGGTAAAAAAGAAGTTGCAAGGAAGAGTCAAAAGAGTTGTATCCCTTCAAAATGCCTGGAGCTTACTTAAAACCAGAATAAAAGAAGTTCACCTGGAATGCATACCACAAACTAGGACAGGCAGTACTAAGTCTAAGGGATCACTAACATGGCTAACAAGCAAGGTCAAGGAAGCTATCAGAGAAAAGAAGGCCTCCTTCAGAAAACAGAAATCTTGCCCAAACAAAGTAAACGAAAAGAAGCACAACACTATTCAGGGAGATGCAAACAGTCAATAAAAGATGCAAAAGCAGGGGAAGTTTAGGAGTATTTTCCTAACAATGTTAAAGCCAACAATAATTTCTTTCAATATATCAGAAGCAGGAAAACAGCTAGGGAGGCAGCTGGACCATTGCAAAACAATGGAGTTACAGGAGTCCTAAAGATAAATAAGCAGATTGAAAAGGAACTAAATCAATTCTGTTCATCTGTCTTCACAGAAGATGATGTAGAACCTGTGCCTGAACTGATGTTTTTAGGAAGGGAGGTTGAGAGATTGATGCACATAATGGTGACAAAAGATGAAGTTCTCAACTTTATTGACAAATTGAAAGTTAATAAATCACTGGGCCCAGATGCAATCCGTCTGCGACTTCTTAAACAACTCAAATATGGAATTGCTAACCATCTTCCAAAATATGTAACATGTCCTTAAGATCCTGTAACTTTTAACAGGGGACTGAGGAAAGTAACACTAAATTTATGAATGGATCCAGAGGGATCTGGGAAATTATGGGCTAGTTAGCTTAACTCCTGTTCCAGGTAAATTGGTTGAAAACATTATTAAACATGAAATTAGTATGCATTTAGAAGGACAAGCCCTGCTGAAAAAGAATTAACGTGGCTTCAGCAAAGGTAAGTCCTACCTCTTGACAGTGTCAAAATGTGGGCAGGGTGATGCAGAAGATATTGTTTACCTGGACTTCCATCAAAGTGGCTCACCAAAAACCCCTGAAAAAACTTAGCAGCCATAAAATAAAAAGATGGGTACTCCTATGAATTGGTTATTTGTTAAAGGACAGAAAACAGAGAAAAGGAATATATGGCAAATTCTCCCAAAACAGCAATGTAAACACCGGGGTCCCACAGGAATCTGTATTGGGTCCAGTGCTTATTGAACGTATTCATCAAAGACCTGGAATTAGGAACAAGCTGTGAAGAGGCCAAGTTTAGGGTGTTCAAAACAAAATGGGATCACGAGGTTTAGTTCAATTTAAAACTAAAAGGAGCTTGCCAGAAGGATAGAAGGGAGACCAAAATGGCAAGTGTGGGTCAATATAAGAAAGTTTAAAGCGGTGCACATCTGGGGGAAAATGGCAACTCCACGAACAAGCTGGTGGACTGTGCTAGCAATGAGCGACCAAGGTAGGGATCTTGATGTTGATGAAAATGTCAACCCCATGGGCAGCAGTTGTGTAAAAGGTGAATTCTATGGTGGGCGTAATTGGGAAAGGAATTTAAAAGAAAAATGCAAGTACCACATTCCCTTTAAGTACATCTTTGATGTGACTATATTTAGGATACTGTGCATAGTTCTGGTCACTGCACCTAAAAACAATATTATAGACTTGGAAAACGTGCAGAAGATCACCACTGAAATGATCAATGGGCTGGAGAGACTCCCTGCTTCTAAAGAGTAAGACATTTGGGATTATTTATCTTAGAAAAAGGGCAAGCAAGGGAGATATGAGAGAGAGATGCAGAATTATGCATGCAATGGAGACACAGGTAAGGAGATAATTTTCGTGATATTGGAGCCCGGAGTCACCTCATAAGCTGCCTGGAGGAAGACTCAGGACAAGTAAAAGGTAAATACTTCATGCCGTGCCTAGTTGGTCTATGAAATTCACTTGCACAGGATGTAGTGTTGGCCACCAATTTGGATGGCTTTAAAAGGGGACTGGACAAACTTGTGGAGGAGGAGACTTTCAAAGGCCACTAGTCATAATAGCTGTGTGCTCCCTCAGGTAGCAAAGGCAGCGCGTCTGTGTGCACCAGTTGCTGGAGAACATGGGCTGGAGGATGCTCCTGCACTCTTCCTGCTCACTGGGTCCAGTGGGCAGCTGGATGGCCATTGTATGAACTAAATTCTGGCCTAGATGGACCTTGGCCAATGCAACGTGGCTCATATGTTCGTATGTTATGTTCTTAAGCACTTTTAAATGCAGACCTGGTTTTGACAGACGCGTCCTGAATAAATGCAAAGCCCCTGTCATGAATTGCCCAGTAAAAGGCCTTCAGACATG